AAGAAAAGCCACATAGGACCATTTGAAGGTTTTATGGCGACTGGTTAACAAGATAACTTCAAAGTCACAATTTGTGATAACCTTATGTACTGGAAAGCTTCTTAGGTGTTATTAAAGAAGCAAGCGAATTGTGTCCGATTCGCTGCCACAGAAAGCGACTAGCGAACGACAAAATTCGTTATCTGACTGCCTCTGTTAGTAGCATCGTCTTCGTGTCTCTCTCGTTCCCTTCCTCTCTCACTTCTTTTTCATAAAAGTTTTGTATCCACACACTCTTTCTCTTGTCGAACAATGATCATACACAGCTAGCAATATGCTGGCTTATTCAAGAATTTTCGGCTTTTCCTTTTTTCTTCTTTTTCAGTGTTCACTCACACAGCACCTACTTCTTTATACTTGAACCCTTGTCCCCCTTCTGTTATTGTGGGATAAGCTTTGCGCTCAGATTTATAATTCGTTATCTTTTCCTACAACAAAAGCCCGCAATTACAGAAACCCTTCATTCTAGGGTTCAGACCCAAAAAAGGATTAAGTATAATGATTATAATACCGTATTCGATTGAAACAATCGGCACGTACACCGTCGCTTCCCAAGTGGAATGAAAATCGGCTTTCTGAAAGCCACACCACCTCATGTTCGTTGCTTCATGAAGCTGAGCTGAATGTGAATCAAGCCGAAATTTTGGTGGCACTTTGAGCAGAGTGAAAGACCGAGAGGCCCTCGCCAGGGCTCGCGGTATACAGAATGGATCTCACCAGTGGGTGCCAGTGTCACCAAAGAGTAAAAAATTTCCGTGGATCTATCAACTTCTCGAAGAAAAGCGCTTGATACACTGCCAGGTGTATGTGGAATCCGACAGGATTTCGCGTCATTTACGCTTTCGAGTTCCGATTTTCGGGTTTCACTTGGCTGCCTGACAGCTATATCGAAGTGCTTCCATTAGACCTTTCGCTAGACGTTCTAGTGCAGCTTCGTTTTTGGGCGTTCACCTGCGGCCCCGGCTTTGCCGTGGTTGATTTGTTTCCCCTCTCAAATTTTGCATTCGCCGTCTAGTGATAGTCCATTCTCCGACTGGCAATTTTAGTAACATTTTAATTTTTATGCGTCACCTAAAACCCTTTGCCTATTAAACCTTACCCATAAGGTTTCATTGGTGTTCATTTCCATGCTGAACGGGGCTATTCGTTCCGCTGGCTGTTTTCTAGATTTCGCGTTCGTGCCCTCTATTTTCCCGTTGTCCCCGAGGAGGTTCCCTGGTGCCATCTCATTACTCTATTCAAAAATTCTTTCGAACAGAGAAACCATTAGCTAACTGCAATCGCAATCCAACCTCCCTTCAATCCAATTAAGATTGAACCCCGTCATTCTTAAAGGGTTTTGCTTTTCTTATTTCCTCCTGCATACATTGAGCCTAGTGGTGCTATTTTAGTTTCCTTGAAAAGAAAAAAAAGGCGCCTATTTTCAGGCCTCCAATTTACATTAGTTTGCTATATGGAGTTTCCAGATTACGAGGGTAAACGGCACTTTCATTTTGGAAGCCCTCGGTCCTTCCATGTCTGTGTAGAAATTAGCAGGGTCTATTCCAGTTAGGGGCATCATGATGCAGTTTTCCCAGAAAGCTACGGTAACTCTGAGCCAGGGGAGTGTAGCCAGTCTAGGGGGTGGGGGTGAGGGCAGTCACTTGACATGCGTGAAAAGCTGGAATGTTCGAGTTTACATCAGCTCGCCGAGAAACTGCATCATGATGCTAGGCCTCCATCTCGCAGTCAGACATCGGCCATAGTTAGTCGTCCGATAGTAGCGATCGTGGCGATTGCATTAGATAGAGCGTTGAAATACGTATCGATCTTCCAATCTTCCGGACACGTCTGGCGATCGATACGCCACACAAGCCCTGTGCGAAAGGAAGACCGACTATGAATGCGCCCAGGGAAGGCCGATGTCAGACTTTGCGAATCGCGCGATTCGCTAGCGTCCGCGGTCGCGTTGCGGTACCAGCCAATTGAGTGATTCACTGGCCGCGACGCGACCGCAGACGCTAGCGAATCGCGCGATTCGCAAAGTCTGACATCGGCCTAAGCGACTGCGTACCGGTAGCCTTTGAGCCCGTTGTGTGCACCAAGTGCTTGCAGTGATACTAAACGCAACGCGACCTCTCCATTTTGGGTCTCCGGACATCTGTCAACCGTGAGGCTAGGCAATTCAGCGTTTTGTTGTGCTGTCTGGGAGCTCTCACACAAGCGCACTATTACAGAATCTCCGCTTTCTTTACCTCCTTCAAAAGGCTTAGTCCCACTACCACAAAGAACGTCTGCTTTTCCTTCTACACTCTCACCCCCTGGTTGACAGAAGCCTTGTAACCGCGTTCCCCCCCCCATTTTAAGTCTAAGCGCATCCAACATAAAAGTATTTATTCTGTGAAACTGTTATGTGTGCTTTCATGATCCATTATGCGTCTCATTTTCCTGTCAACTTAGTTATATTCAAAGTAAAACAAAGCTATTCACTGGAATTTTCCCAGCTGATAATGAGAGAAGCAGATACGTTCTAGTGTCTCACCCCAGTAAACAGGGACGAAGGCAGTGTGGCTGGCGGGCAGATTGCAACCACCTGCAGAAATTCTAATTTTTGCAAGGAAATCCTCGGAGTGCGTGAACTGGATGAGACCTCATTCTTTGAAATAGTTTGTAATTGTTTCTCGCTTTCTGAGTCTAATTCTCCCCTATGTAAGTAATGCATAGTTTCCACGAACAAAACTTACTTCTCCATAAATTTTTGTCGTTGTCTCCAAGCAACTTACTAGCAGCACCAGCTTTGCTAAGACTGCACGCTGATAGTCGTATGAGAGTGATTGTAAGACGGGCGGCGGAACCTTCCATAGTTTATCATAACCATCCATTCAACTGCAACTGATCGACCGGGATTCATCCTGAAAAATCTTTATTTTAAGCTCACTTATTCAATTCATTTGTTGAGATTGCTTTGTCTTACCTGGAGGTTATCAGGAAGGTAAGAGTATTTCAAGGATTTTTGGGTATATTTAGCAGAAAAGATTAGGGGAACACGTCGGTGAAGAGCGCTCCAACTTCGTTAAAAACCACGACAAGCACCTGTTTTTGAACTAACGATCTAGAACTAACTAAGCCCTAAGGATGGGGGGTGAAAGGGACCCAGGGGCGCGTGAACAACTTCACCCTTTCTAGGCGTAGTTCTAGCTGCTTAGCTGCTCATTTGGAGAATACCGTTCTCCCTGAATGTTCTATTAATCAGCACAAGAACACTTGAAATACACAAAAAACCCAAATAAATGGCGTAAAAACAAGGGCGCTAGCAGTTCCAAATTTTAAAGGACTCCTTGAGCAAAATTTGGATTGGAGCAGCTCACCTTTTCTTTAAATTTTGTGTGCTCGACTTCTCTATGCCAGTTTTTAATCAGGCCATCACTCATATGAGAGTCAGAAATACGTCTGACCTCTTTCAGTGAAGTTCCGGTGGAATTTCAAGAGAGCTAGATTTCTTGCTAAATAGCAGATTAAACGATAGACAATAGTTCATCTCCTAAGATTACCACTGCATTCTGTATTCTTTTGATTCGTTTTACAGCAGGTATTAATTGGAGGATTCGACGGACTTGTCTGTATAAAATTATTCAATTTTTCGTATTCTGACGCCTCTTTCGTCATTTACAGCTTTTTCTCATTCCCGACATGACAGCTCTGTCAATAATCACACTTCAATGTCAGTCCTACTTCAATGCTTTTTTATCCGTGCTGCTGATTTACGGATCCAAAAATAACTTAATAATAGTTAATGAAATAAATCGAATAACTTTAAATTATGTACAATTTGAAGAGACATGGGGCAATGTGGCGCGGGTGGGGCAGCTGTGAAATAGCGTCAGTGTTACGGGAACGCTCAGTTTCAGGGAGAGAAATAGGACTTCGGGGTGCGTAATCAATTTTATTCCTCTGAGATGGATCATCTGCTCTCCAATCTTATGAGCTAGTCCTGTAGGGCCGTTCTACAGACTTACCACGCACCCCAGGAGGATATTGCCCAGTAATTTATTACAATTTAGTATGCGTAAGGGTTTACGATACCGAGGGCATCGTTCTGGGTCATTATAGCTCCAAGAGGCTATACGTTTCTCCATGAAGTAAACATATTCTGTGCAGATCTATGTCATCCTCCGGTTGTCGTACAAGAGTGTGTATCTCAATATTTATTGATTATAGTTACCAAAGCGTTAGGGTTATCTATATTGTGCTTGTAAAGCCAGATAATGCCTGGAGGATGACTCACCCCTCTTTCTCTAGTTGACATTCCTCTCCGTCAACTGGTGTCATTCCAACAACGTCGTAAAGAGTGGGGCGGCGTCACCGCCTCAGGGCGGGATGAGTTTTAAGTTGTGTCGCCCTCGCAATGTTGTCACACTCCTTGAATCTTCCCCCTTCTTGAGGCTCTGCTTTTCTCTTCGTTATTATCAGAAGGACATCTGACAATCAACTACCCACTTGTTTTTACTGGTCGTCGATAAGCTTGTAAGGATTTTTCAAGAAATTTTCTTGAATGGATGGTTTTGTGTAACTTATTTGCAGCGCTCATATTCTAATATTGGTTTTTGTAGTATGTACTAAGGATTTCATACTTACCGATGTTGATACTTACTGATTACTTACTGATGTGGGCTTGCCATTTTCAAAGCTGTGTAATTCGATCGATTTTCTTTCTTCATTAGTGCTGCTCCTAAAATTGCAATTTCAGGCGAAATGCGTCTCACATATCGGACATTAGGCCCATTTGTAGGGGCTATCGCCAAGAAACTCGAACACTACAGGTAATTTCTTCCAGTTTGTATTGATTAGACACTTTGAAAAACTTGCTCTGTCCTGTCTTCTTATGATCGGATCCCTTGTTAGAAGATTTCTTTTGGTACATGATAAAAGTAGCTGTAAAAAAAGATAAAAGTAAAGATAAAGATAAAGACAAAGATCCTACCATGCCATGTTTCAGCCAGTTCCAACCATCCTCTTTGTCTATACAGCAATATCTCGACTTTGGTCGAATCGGTACGGCTGCTACATCATACACATTTCTGAAGAATGAGCTCATGGTGCGGCTGGCCAATATTATGCAGGTTTGGTTACATCCATTTATCTTTCATTTTACCATTTTTCTTTTCACATGTTCTATTTAATGCGAATAAGGACTTACCGCGATCCGTTAAGGAGTTTTCTTTACTGCCTCCAAAACTACTACAAATGCCAAGTTCCAAGCTGGTCAGCAGTTGGTACTGCGAAAGTTTCGAGGACCTTCTGAAGTTCGAAAGTGCTGCTCCATCAACGGAAAATATAGAGTCGTACGTTTTTTTTTATCCCGTCAAGGATATTGTTTTTCGGCCTTCTTACTAAAAACCCTCTTCTACAAAGTGTACAGGAGTTTGTTCATTTTTGTTTTAATGGATAGAACTGTACAATTCTTCTCTTTTTTCGTGTTCCCCGGGTGCTGCAGATATTTCGAAAGGATGACAATCAGGCTTTCCATAGCTATAAAATTGATTTGAATATATGCCAAAAGGTTCTTGCGGAGGATTTACACCGAATTTGTTAGAAACATTGCAGCAATAGATCGGTAAAAGTCGGGGACAGTGACGCTCTCGTTTACGCAGCCTCATATATCCATACACCAAGAAGTTTGAACGTAGCGGTA